GCTCTACCATAGCTCACATATATAGCCAGTATAGCTGTCCTACAATAAAATACGTAAATTAAGAGCCGAACGCATCGAAAACCTTACTTTTACTCGCGTACCTCCACCCGTCCGCTGCCGCATGGATCGGCTGAACGTCCAATGCCGTTGTGCGATCGCTTTTGAACGGGCCGGGACCTGGCTTGTACCGGTAATATGGGTAAATTCGAAGCATATGATATGTCGATCTTGGCAGGGTCAGGGAAGACGTCGCCGAGCAAAAAGAAACAGCCCAGAAAACGTGGTAATGGGAGGCACATCCTTTCCTCCCTGATAATGGAACCCTTGCTCGTGTCCATCAGCGACGTCGTGTTGAAGACAGACTTTGACTAGTCTTTCGTGTAGTGACATGCGCACGCGGGATTTTGCGAACTTTACTCGATAACAGCGAATGAGCGTTATGCCGTGCTTACGCCCCATTCTTCACCATGCCATTGGGTCGCTATACCATTTTCAGAGGGATTCCTGACACCTCCGTACTCCGCACCTCTCTCCGCCCAGCAGCAGCGACCAGAACCCATCAATGCGATGCAGTCTTTCGACTCCACCTTTCGAAAAGAATTGTTTCCACTTCCGCGGCTGCAGGAGCAAGGGAATCAGGTCACATTCACATGGCATGGTGGGAATTGATCTGCACTACTCCTTCCCTTTGCACATCCTCCTCAACAAAAGGCCCCAGTTTCCAGAACATCGTTCCCCGGGAAGACACGCGACTGACATGACGGAGGAACGTTATGGAAAGAGAAGGTCCCCCTTCCACGTGTGGGTACACGGGCGCATCTTGACAGCGGCCCCTTGTTTTTATCGGTATAGCGAGACGCCTCTTTAGGAGCAGGCATGAACGCGTGCTCGGCTCGAGCTGCAGGAACAGGTATCTGGGCCGCAGAGCGGTTGGCCTGACGTGACATGGGTGTTGCGTGGCCCGCGCGTCTCGAGGCAGGATTTATCCAACGGCTCGGCTCAGCAGGCCGTAAGAGCAACCGAGATTGAGGGCTGATGTGCCCTGGGGAGGAAATGCTGGACGCGATAGCGAAGTCGGTATCTGCGGGATGTATTGACTTGTCAGACATGATAATTTCGGCACTTATAGCCTTACGTGGTGCGTCGTGGACGGTCCGATAGAAGAGTTGTCGACGAAGGCATGGGTTGTGGGAGCGGCTTCGAAGTCGGACGTTGAGGCCCCACACGAGGCATGAAAGTCGACTCAGTTTCAGCTTGCGTGCGATAGATGTACGCAGGGCTCCTGACAGACTCTGCGACCATGCTCCGTTTTCCATGTGCGCCTGAATAAGAGAAGTGGACCGGTCCGCGGCGGAAAGATTTGTTATTATCCGCGTCGCCTACAGCATCAGGCTCTCCCTTCGTACAGTTCGGCGTGATAGTCGTGCAGCTCCACGGTCATGTACTGAAGGCTCTTTCCTGTCGCCCTCGAGCCTGCTACACGCAATTAAGGCCGATAGCACCCACACGAAGTATTCTTTCTAATCATCGCAGGCTTGGAACAATACATGTCTCGACATGACCATGCTACTATGAGCACTGGAATATGTTGTGTATGCCTTGACAGCTGACGTGCACTAACTCAACAAAATCGGCCTGCGATATTGCACATCTCTACTGCGCTGTTCGCTCTTAAAACCAGGAAGCCCTTACGCATGCCAGTGATGAATATCTGATAGTGCATAGATTCTAAGAAGAGCGGATGTCAGTCGGTGCAATTAGCGTGGTGGTGTGACAGCTTCCACTGCTGGCTGGCGACTCCACTACATCCTGAATCCCAGACCGAAATTACCTAGTATTGCATAGCAGAGTGTGGCTAAAACTCTAAGCATCAGCTTAAATTTAACGTCGCACAAGATGAGTCTTCAACACAGGCGCTGATGTCACAAACACATTGTTCACATAAGCCATGTCTCCCATAACGCCAGGCACAGATCTTTGAGCGTACCTAACTCCTACTCATACTCATCCAGAAACCGTTGTTGGAAAATTTAAGTAACGGAGTCGCGACATATGGCACAAAAACGTGTGCGAGTTCTAGACTTTAAGGATCTAAACAACGTCATGACTTCAAGGGTCAGGGCGAAGGGTAAGGAAGGCGATACCCCACCATGTAGCGTACCCAGGTATACGTACCGACTCCATCCCCACTTCCATCGTCATTACCAAGCAACGAGGTACGACTTTCGACTTTCGCCATCGCCAACACCATTAATTCGCCCATCGCACTGTACAGCTCTTCCTTAGACCCACAGTCCACACCCACTACTTGTCTCCAAAGCTAGCATGGTCGCGATGGGAGGTGGTCCAGATTTACCGTCTCGAAATGCATCGAAAGAGAAGGAGCTTGTGCTGTGCGCATTGCACTGGCCTCAAGAGCTATGCGAGCGTGGCTTGAAAGTTCTCAGAGAAGCTTTTGACGATGTGGAAGTGAAGTACTTCCAAGTCAAGTGGGATAGTGGCAAGTCGGAGATGGACGCACCTGAAGGTTAGTTGGCAGTAGACACACACACACACACACTTGCAGAGTATTGGTTGTTTTGAAGAAGAGATCGAAACCGAGATGACGGGTTCGCGCGTTACCAGTCGTCCAACAAGCACAACCATCTGCAGCTGCAGAGCTTCCATGCTTCCCGCGATTACACCTGTTACACAAACGTGGCTAATATCATCCCAGACGACATCAAGCGCGCAACCTATATTGCGACGCTATCCTGGCTCCCGGAATCCGCATCCTCCATTCCAAACACGAAGCTCATCCAATTCTTCTCTGCAGGCACAAACCACGTTTCCAGCCACCCAATCTACACTGACTCCAAGATCCCACTGTGCTCTGCCAATGGCGTTCATGGCCCGCAGATTGCCGAATGGGTCATCATGATGAATTTGGTGCACAGTCATAGCTACACTAAGCTTTATGACAACCAGAAGAACAGGGTTTGGGACCAGAAGGTGGGGCTGAGTGTCAGTGATCGGGTGGGGAAGAGGGTGGGCATTTTGGGGTATGGTAGCATTGGTCGACAAGGTATGTTTAATCAACTTGGAAAAGACGGAGAGACACAACTTTTGCTAGCATACTTGCTGCATATGGAAGCTATGCTAATCCACGGCAGTCGCTCACGTAGCAAAGGCAATGGGCATGGACGTAATAGCCTACACAGCCTCGCCACGCAGAACCCCAGAGTCCAAGCACGACAACGGGTACATCGTCCCTGGAACTGGCGATCCTGATGGCAGTATTCCCAGCGCGTGGTACAGTGGAACTAGCAAAGAAGATGTGCACGAGTTCTTGAAGCAGGAAATCGACTTATTAGTGGTTGCTGTGCCGTTAACGTAAGTAACTTGCCCACGTCATGCAAGGGAGACGATTCGATCATTTTTCACTAACACATTAACTAGGAAAGCGACAACGCATCTCCTCTCCACCGAGGAATTTGAGCTCCTGCATAAGTCCAACCCAAAGGGCACCTACATCGCGAACATCGCGCGGGGGCAAATCATCGACCAGAAGGCGCTCATCACTGCTCTGGAGAAGGAACATATTAGTGGTGCGGCCCTTGACGTTACTGATCCCGAACCTCTGCCCAAGGATGATCCGCTGTGGGATGCACCAAATGTGCTCATCACACCGCACTGCAGTGGAGCGTCAGATGCGTATGCCGACCGCGCGTTCCAGTTGTTGGTCGAGAACATAAAGCGGGACCGAAGTAACGGCAAACTGATCAACGAGGTGAACCGCGAGAGAGGCTATTGAGCCAGCACAACACCCCAGACTATAGTTCCGTAGAACATTCAACTCGATTTGATAGATCGATGTAGGGTATCATAGACGCCCTGGGTAGACTCCAAGTAATAGACCATATGCCTAGTCGTACAAGACTCTCCTGCTTTCGTCTCAACAGCCAGAGCAGAGAAACGAGAAATTCGCGCAAACACCAAAACGTCCGTGTATCACCGCCTGAACAGCCCAGAAATCATGCCGCCAGCCAGATTCCTCGCAAGACCTGAGCCGTACATGGCGTTTGAGGCGAAGCCCGTCGCTTGGCTGAACTTGTCGCATCGGGAGAAGGCGAGGGTATTCGTAATCGTAAGGACGAGCGCGATAACTGAGACCAAAACGTTAGCACATGTCTCTTTCTGAATCACCTCGAAAGAGAAGGTCACCACATACCAACCAGCGTCAACCAAATAAACTCCAAGCTGACGAGCGCCACAATCGCCAGCAGCACCCACAACACAGGCTGCGCATACAGCGCGAGCCAAAAGAAGCGCTTATCCGTCGCATTGATCTGGCGCCCCGTTTCCGGATCCAGACTCTCAAACACCCAGCGCCCGTCTCCCGTGTTGGCGTCGACTTCGTTCCACCAGCGGAGGCCGACGAGGCGGCGGCCAGCAATGTTCTTGAGGTAGTAGAAGTCCATGGCGAGGAGCAGGATGGTGATGATGAAGATCATGACGAAGTTTGCGGTGAGGAGGCGGAGGCCGAGGAGGTAGACTAGTAGCGAGGCTGGGGGAGAGGGTTAGCTGTGAAGGTGATATACTGGGCATGTATGCATGTGGTGCCTGTAGCTTGTTTGTAGGTTGGGATAACATACAGATGCGAAAGGCGAGGAAGGTAAGCAGCGTGATGGGATGGCTGCTTAGTCTCCAGCTCAGCGAACCAGGCGCCGGCTCTTGTTGTGCGTTCTCCATGGTTTCTGGTGCCGTCGGGGTGTGCGTGGTGCTGGGGGAATCAGTCCGAGACGTGTGAAGATCAGCTTCACGTGGCTTTCTCAGGGACGCGTCGGCGATCGGCGTTTGGGGGGAGCTTTGGTGGAGCTGCGACTTCCCCGCACGTCATAGGCTAGCGAGAGTGTCCGAGGTGTGTAACGGCTATATGACTTTCTGCCATTGAGGTTTGTATACTTCTGTGCTCGAGGCAGATATCTCGGAGGAAGTAATTCAGTCAGTTCCGAAGCAGCATGGCGGCGCCAATTATACGGAGGGCGTGCATGTACGGTATACCATCACCACTCCATTCACCTTCACATACCATACAAGCAGTTCCACCAGTGCCATACTAACACTCCTCACAGTACCCTCCTCCTCCAAGCGCATGCTCGAAAAGTCCTTCGCCATGACCGCCGACAACGTAACCTACGACCTCGAAGACAGCGTCGCCCCGCACATGAAGCCCGAAGCGCGCTCCAACCTCCGTTCCATCCTCAACAAGCCCCGACCCGCTAGCATAAAAGAGATGTGCGTAAGGATAAACAGCGTAGACACAGGCCTCGCGCTGGATGACCTGACCGAAGTGCTCAAAGGCGAGCACCTCGATGCCATCATGCTGCCCAAGTGCGAAAGCGCTGCAGACCTGCATTTCGTCACGGACGTGATACGGCATCTCTCGCCCGACCGCCATCCTAGTGCAGGGACGCAAGGGAACAGGGAGCCTGTGCGCATAATAGCGCTGATAGAGAGCGCAAAGGCGATTCAGAATCTGAGTGAGATTTGCGCGGCTTCGCCGTATATTTCGGGGCTTGTCTTTGCGGCAGAGGACTTTGCAAAGGATATGAGTCTCACACGTACACCCTCGCTCATGGAGTTTTTGTATGCAAGGAGTGCGATTGCGACGGCGGCGAGGGCTGCCAGACTTCCTAGTACTATTGACTTGGTATGTACGAGCTACAAGGGCGAGCAGGGGCTCAAGACACTGGAGGAAGAGTGTTTGAATGGCAAAGGGCTCGGGTTCAACGGCAAGCAATGCATACACCCAAGTCAAGTCGCCGTGTGCCATAAAGCGTTCAGCCCTGGGGAGAAGGAGCTCGAGTGGGCGACGAGGGTAGTCATAGCGGATGAGAAGGCAAGCAAAGCTGGACGAGGGGCCTGGACATTGGATGGCAAGATGATCGATGCGCCAGTCGTGAAGAAGGCGCATGCGATACTGAGACATGCTGAGGTATGTGAGATGGATGTAAGTGCTGTCAAGGAGACATGGAAGGGACAGGAGCCTGAGTAGCTACCAATGCATGTTGGCATCTTCGTATTGTTCTCCTACATGATGAAAGCGAGAGGACCGTATCGCTCTGATCTATACCGTAATCATGACACTGGCGTTCTTGTACCAGCTCAGCAAGGGGTTGTCACCATTCTTCGTCGTTGTCTCCGCAATGTCTGCTCTGCCGGCCATGAAGTCTTCGTGTAGGTATGTTCGTGCGAAGCGTCCGGTTATCGACGTGTACATGGGTTCCATGACCTCGAAGTCAGTGGGGAAGAGTATGTCGAAGTAGCCTTGGTGCACCTGGGACGTATTAGTGGCTGTTTTGTAACAAAACGGTAATAGACTTACAAGAGGTGTCGAAACAGGAATCATCTGCCTCTTGTACCTCGTTTGCACAACAGGCGCATTGATACCTTCGACCGCATCGCCCAGCTTGTGGAAGTCGCTGCTAATCAATTTGTGGTTTGGAAACTTCTCGTACAGCATGTAGAAGAACTGCATCAGCCGCGTTGGGATGTACTCCGGCATGCTCATATTAGAGCGGAACGGTACCAAGCTCTTCAGGTTGTTCATGAGTCGCGAGCCTTGCAGCGGATGCGGGTATGTGGTACAGGCAGCGTGTCTGCGCTCGAGGAATTGAGTAACGAGGGGGTCTATCGTGCGCGAGTAGTATTCGAAGAGCTCTCCACGAGGATCTATGACGACGTGGGATTGATATGGGAGGCCCGTTTCGAAGTCGTACTTTAGGGCATCGTGTGCGAAGTTGTCGAAGACTTCCAATGCGAGGAAGTAACAGGGTGAGGAGACGTAGATGTTCCAGTCAAAAACACTGCGATTTATGATTTCCACTTTGTCAGAGTGACCTCGCGCATATGCTGAGTGTCCTAGACCCTTCTGTTGCAGGTCGGCCAGTTGACTGGAGATCTCGATGATCTTGAACTTGGTGCGCTCGTACACGTCTGGGTGCACGTCTCTTATGAAGTCGAGGATGTTCAACATCATTGTACCGTTACCCGCGCCCATTTCGTATATGTTCAAATCATGGTATGGGTAGAAATTGTACTTGTAGTCCTCTACGAGGTAGCGTGCGATTGCTTCTCCGTAGTAGGGCGAGAAGAGTTCGGTCGGCGTATGCCAGAGCTGGCGTAGGTCGTTCGGTTCTTGGTAATCGAGATCGTCTTCGAAGGCGGTATAGCGGTGCCGCAGCTGCTGGAAGAATTCGTGCTCGGAGCCCATGGAGTTGAAGTCGAATGGATCGCCCGGAGAGAAGATGACTACTTGCTTGGAGAAGTAGCCGTAATTGGGGTTGTATAAGCTGTCTATACATCTATTAGTATAGTAATACACCACATGTAAGAGTCCCAACCTTCTATGAAGTCGCGCAACAACATCTTGACTCTGCGCGGTCTTTCTCTCCTACTCCGCAGCATGTCCGCTGTGACCATTGGGTATCTCTCAAACTCTTCCGTCCTCTCATGAGGGAATGCATTCTTTCTCGGTGTCCATCTGCTCTCGCGCTTCGTTTCACCCTCACCCAACCGTGTGGCCTTGCCTCGTCTTTGGTGGTGTGGTATGCGGGCGCCTGCGAGCGCTGGCCGGGCTCCGCGGGCAAGACATTGCGACGCTCGATGCGAGAACAGCTGGCGGAAGAGCTGCGTGGCGAGCGGCGAGTCCATTGGCGCCAGAGACAATTGTCGCGAATGCGTCGCGACAGCAGTGGTGGCTGTGGTCTTCCGCGCGAATGCACGTGGTGAGCTTTGCGGGCAGCCGCGCCAAGACGGGGATACCACCAGCTCCGATCGCGTCAACTCTGCAAACTGCACGCCACAACTCCCCAACTTTTGAAAAATGGTGGATCGCTCCAAATATTACCTCTTAGGCGCTTTGCTGCTAGGGATTGCTCTGACGACTGCATACAACAAAAAGAGATCGATAGAAGGAATAGACAATGCAGACCAACTTCTGGCACAGCAGCAAAAATGGCTATCGCAACTCGCAAAGATTAATGACTTAGAAACGTTGAAGAAGAGTTTACTGGAGTTCGGTGGTGGACACGGCGCAGTCAACATCAAGGAAGGCATCGAAGGATGCATCGGCGACACGCCCCTCATCAGAATCAAGTCACTTTCCGAATTCACGGGATGTGACATACTTGCAAAAGCTGAGGTAGAAAACTTACGTGAATTTGGCTCGAACGTTCGCTAACGTGAGCCACAGTTTCTCAACGGAGCCGGCAACAGTCCAAAAGACAGAGTCGCTCTAAGCATCATCGAGATGGTAAGAGAAGACTCTACTCCGCCTCCCGTCTATATCATTTATGTTTGCTGATTCTCATAACAGGCTGAAGAGAAGGGTCTTTTGATCCCACACTCTGGTGACACCATATACGAAGGCACTGTTGGGAGCACTGGCATATCATTAGCCGCCATTTGCAGAGCAAGAGGCTACAAAGCACACATGTAAGTCGTCATCTGACTCAGAGGTGTGTTGGCTGACAAGCGAAGCTGCATGCCAAACGACATGGCAATCGAGAAGTCAGATCTCCTGCTGAAGCTTGGTGCTGAAGTAGAAAGAGTGCGCCCGGCGCCTATCGTGGACCAGAAACAATTTGTCAACCTCGCACGATCGCGAGCAGAAGAACACACTGCAAGTTCCGAAAAGCCAGGGAGAGGACTGTTCGCCGATCAATTCGAAACGGAAGCCAACTGGCGCGCACACTTCACTGGCACGGGGCCTGAGATCTATGAGCAAACTGGGCGTCGTGTGGATGCTTTCGTTAGCGGCGCTGGCACGGGAGGAACTATCTCTGGAGTAGCGTTATTCCTAAAGTCCAAATTACCCGACATCAGGGTCGTCCTTGCGGATCCCCCTGGCAGCGGCTTGTTCAACCGCGTCAAGTACGGTGTTATGTTCGACCCCAAGGAAAGAGAAGGAACGCGGCGGCGACACCAAGTGGACACAATCGTTGAAGGGATCGGCATCAACAGAGTGACTCACAACTTCGACGTTGGTAGGGAGCTGATCGACGATGCCATCAGGGTTAACGACGACCAAGCAATTTCCATGGCGCGCTGGTTGGTTGAGCATGATGGCATTTTTGTTGGAAGCTCTAGTGCTGTGAACTGTAAGTTGTGAAGCGTTCAACAGCAGGCGGCACTGACTTATTGAAGGCGTCGCTGCCACGAAACTTGCAAAGACACTTGGTCCAGGACACCGCATCGTCACCATATTATGCGACAGGTAAGACCATGTCTCAAAATTCCAAATACGTACTAACACCTTCACAGTGGTGCAAGGCACTTGAGCAAGTTCTGGAAAAATACCGAGCCAGTTGGTGGCGCTGAGAACGATGTGTCTCTCCAAACCATTCTCGACGCTTGAGGCCTCCTTCCATCAACGCTCCCTGCCTTCAGATACCTGACGCATCCAAGGTCTTCATTCCCATTATCTGACCCCACCACAGTTTTCAAAAACGAAGAGGTTGACAATTCACCGCTGGTTGCGTCTGAAACGGAGCTGTACAGCGGCGTTCAGATCATGAAAGATTTGCCAACGCATCACAATGTCAGCCAACACGCCACCGCATCCTCAACAAGGGTGATCAGCCCCCCGCCTTCATCAAGCACTACCGTCACTGCCATGAATGCGCAACATTATGCAGCAGCAACCTTCCATCATCCACACGGGAACAATGGACACGTGACAGAAGAAAGACAAAGATTCTACTCTTCACGAGATACTGGGAGTCAGAAGAGCAAGTCTTGAGCGGCGGTGTCTTAACAAAGAGCAAAGCTCCAACAAAACCCATTCTTCTGACAGCCGCCACGCCCGTTTGTGTCGCCTTTATATACTACGGCGACCCCTCAACCCTGCATGCTACACACTCCCGGCTGGTTCATACCAAATATCGTCGCACACGTCCTCCCGCAGCAAACTTTCTCCATTCAGCAAGCCCTTGCCAGACCAGAATCTCTCTACCAAACGAACATATGCCTAACCGACGCATGAGCGATACAAACGGAATCAACAAAGCAATAAGTCCTACATCGAGCATTGTGCAAAGGCGAATAGCAAGAAAGATGTCACCATGGAACCGCAACCCAGCCCTCGCAAATAAAATTGCCGAAATGCGCCTCACCATCGCCCCCATAGTGCACGTGGAGACAGGGATACCAGCACCCGAGTTCCCCTCTACAATGCTCGATCTTTTCCTCCTCACCGAAGCGCAACTCGACGCGCTAGCTGCCTACTATTCCCAAACACATTCAACAGACCTCACAAACCAATATCCCCAGACAATGAACTGGCAACAACCCTTCTTAGACGCCAGCGACACCTTGCCTGAGAACTGTAAATTAGGCGAACTGGAACGGCTAAAGATTAAGATGAGGATGTTTGCGAGGTTCATTGGTATGAGGGGTGCGGATACACCGCGGTGGGAGTATGATCGTCAGATTGAGATTTTGAGGAATAAGATCCAGAGGAGGATTACGGATGAGGAGGAGAAGGTGCTGAGGAAATTTTATCAAGGTCCTGTTAGTAGGCCATGAGGGCTTCGAAGGGTGTCGGGCGTGCCGGTCATGCGTGAGGATGAAGGGAGGTTGCAGCTTTGTTAGAGCGTTGCCATGACGAGCTTCGTATATGGCAGCAATGTAACTTCTTAATTTCACCTTCCCGTGCCCCAAAAGTAGTGGTCAGATTGCAGCAATACGTGGACAGGGTATTGGATATGTGTGATTCTGGTAGTACCGAATTTCAACCATGGGTTCGCAAACCGCAAAACCACGCCACAGACCTTATGCAATTGCCTTAAATTACTTGCAAAACCCAGCTTGAAACTCCTCAGCTCATATATTTAATACGCCATTTACGCCACCATGAAGCTCAGCATCACCATCCTCCGCCTAGCCCTATGCGCCGCCGCCACCGCCTCCGTACACCTATCCGAATCCCAACTGCGTCAAAACCCCGACACAATCCCTCTCGCCGATCTCGAACCCCTAACACCCCTCAAACAGGTAAGTCAAGAACACTAAATCCCCCCCCTGCATGAAAAAATCGCCTAACAAAACCTAGTGCTACAACTACTGCATGGACACGCTCAAGTACAAGGCCCGCCGAGGCGGAGAGGGAGATTGGAATTACATCCGCTGCTTGAAGGCATGCAAAGAGGATCCGAACGTGAGTGGGACCAGGATAGACGTCTGAGCAATTCTGTGGGTGTGGTTGTGGACTTGGGTGTGCTGATGATGGGGTAGTATGCTGAACAGCCTACTGAGACGTGGCGGGCGATGTTTGTGTTGCAGGCGAAGGACTGTGAGCGCGTGGCAGATGAGTTTATGAGGGAGCATCCGCGTGATGTTATGGATCTTCCGGAGCATTTGAAGCGGATGGGGTGTTGAGAGGGGTGTGGTTTGCGTTGCGATCGAATGTTTTGGTGTACTGAGGCGTATGCATGTTGTAGCTTTCTAAGGAGATGTTCAGCGGCTCTAACAATTGAATACATTCACCCACCAAAGTGCAAGTTCGATGACGAGCGTACAACAGACCACATGGGTGTCTAAGCCCAGAACACTCACTCTTCTCCATACGGTTTTCTTCTTTGGCACATGGCCATCATCTGATCGCTGATTGGAGACGCGCGTCTTCGAGATGTTAAGCGTCTTGACGATGGCTCATTGGACAAGGTATGGAGTTCAATGGATCAAGTCATCACTCAAGGGTTCAGGGACTACACCCCTTCAACGCTCTCCGCACTGAAGCGATCTCACACAGACACTTCAAAAGGGTTCGAATCTATTTAAATAAGCAGTCAGCCGCGAAACTTCAGAAATCATCTCCCTTGACATGAAGCTCCTCACCAATATCCTGGGTGTTGTCTCGTGCACTGCTATTATAGTCACTGCACAGGCACCCAAAGAAAATCAAGCTTCAAACATTGAAGCTCCGAAGGCCCAACCCAGTATCGACGTACTCCGCGAGAGGGCTACCCGCCAGGTGAGATTGGGCCGTATTCCCCAGTAACATCCAAAGTCTGACACGGTGTAGTGTATCAGATATTGTTTTGATGGAGTCGCCGGAGAAGACGAAGATCCTGCTCAGTGGGATGGTGCGATCGGTTGTGCATACGAATGCGGCACAATGAAAGTTCCAGACGATTCCTTGGAATACATGCTTCACTATGGTTGGGCGATTGAGGGGCTTAGTAGGGTCAGTGCTAGGATATGTCCTCACCAGCATGAAAAGCTTACTCACTCATCGCAGGCACCCAAATACTATCACAGACGGGCCTCCGTAAGTTCGCACAAAGGATTACGTTCATTCCAGTGCCGAGAGATGTACTGACCAAATGACAGTGGCTGCGGGATCTTCTTGATGAGGACATTCAGTATCCGTCTGCGGACCAAAACAACCAATACAGACACGCTTTGGAAGATTTCGAGAACCTGAGCAGGCAGTTCACTCACTATCCGACAAATGAGATGGGAGAACCGGAAAGAGAGGCGAACTCCGAAGAAGATGTCAAGCGAACTGCCGCGCTGAGAGATGGACCGTTTGAGTCACCGCCAGCAAATGAATGCACTGACGCTCCATCGTCCGGAGATCTCCTTGACACGAACACTGATTGGCCGTCTGTGGACGAGGACGCGGATGAGGAATATGCGGATTTTCTGAGCAGCAATTGGGAATATGCCGACAAGATCAATGCCTTGTGGAATACTGATAAGATGTATGTGGTGGAAGTCCCGGGTAAGACAGGTTCATCGTCAGAGGGTTCCAAGCGATATTGGTTGCATACGTATGACGGTCGGAAATACGGGCCGTACGACAACAAAGCTCAGGTAGAGTTCGCACTTTGAGCGCGGTTACGTCATCTCATCCACCAGAGAAATGCGAAAAGCCTTCTGGTGGTTCATCTCGCGTTGATGGAGGGGTGAAGTAGGGTAGAGCGGCTTCTCTAGATCACATGTAGTACCTCGGGGGTGGTGACACTGTCCACAGCAACGATAGCTAAATCCATGTCCACTCCTGGATTGCGCAATGCACCACCATGCATGTGAGGCCGTGTATGCCAACGGCAAACCTTGGAGGCTGATGATAAAGAGCCGCAGCCGAATTGACCACCTCACGCTAGCCCTCCGGTAACACTATACCTCTTCCGTCCAAGCACCAAACTGCCAACGGCCCGGGAGATCGACAGAGCATCGGCAAAGCTTCGCTCGCGTTCGCCCATCACTCACCAGCACGTCGCCAATACTGCTCCTTTCGCGCTCACGATGCGCCCGAGCCCCCGGGTTCTCTCACGCCATCACCGACCATCGTGAAAATGCCACCACGCGCGCGTCCCCGTCACCGACCCTTGACCATCGCAACCATCTGCGGTACCGCATCGCTCATCCTACCCACCGTCACGCTCATCCGCCTCTACACCATCGCGGCGCTACCCGTGTACTCGCTCATCTACGCCGGCTTCATCAGCGGAGTGACGTTCCTCTTCTATGGCTACGATAAGATGCAGGCGCGGAATCTGGAGTGGAGGGTCAAAGAAGTGACGTTGCATACACTGGCGATGGTGGGAGGGTGGCCGGGAGCATTGGCGGGCATGCACTATTTCCAGCATAAGACGAGGAAGGTGAGGTTTCAGGCTGTGTTCTGGGGGATCGTTCTGGGCTGGGAGGGTGTCGCGTGGCTGGTGTGGAATGGTGGGGTACAAGTTGGATGATGAGGGGCTTGGAACAAGTCTATCAAGACGACGGGGAAATATTTCATTAGGGATATGTGAGGCCGTTATGAGAGCCATGACGGTCGTGAGAGTACGGCGCAAACCTGCCGGGACGGTATACAAGGAGAAGGCTACCTTGAGAGGAGCCACAAAGGAACCACCAAACGCCTACCGAGGGTATGTCCAACATTCGCCTTCTGCTGTCGTGTCGCTACTCCGCTTTCTTCCGGACGTCTCTCTGAATCGTCTCCTTGGATGCGATAACCCATCCCCGAAGGCATTCGAGCAATGCCCTCAGACACGCCTTCACCACCTCCTAGTGGAACCGGTCCGAGATCTTCTTCGATACGTCCTTGGTCTGATCCCAGACTTGGGTCGCCGCTCGGACTGTACAAAAGAAGAGGCATTAGCGACCGGTGAGCGGAGATGTGAGTCTATCAGCGCTTTCACCAGCTTGCTCTCCAATGGGATTCTGCATGGCGCCGCCCGCGAGGTTGCTGATTCCCTGCTTGAGGTTCTTGACGTCTTCTTGGTCGGAGGTGGGGATTTTGTTGATTTGGTCTGCGAGGTGTTAGTGTTTGCGGCATGGTGTTTGTGAGTATGGAAAGACTCACCCTTGGCCATGTAGGACATCTTGTTCTCGCCCATGGTCTGGAGGGCTTGCTTCTCCATCTTGCGCTTCATCTCCGGGGAGATACCGAAGAAGTAGAAGTAGCCGGCGGCCAAGGCGATCAAGCCAGCGAGGATGGTGAAGATGCCGATAGCCATAGTGGAGACTGTGCGGTTGCTCGTTTGTGCGTGAGAGTTTGTATGGAAATTGGTGTGTAGTGCTGCTGTAGAGGAGATTTGGCAGAATAAAGAAGTGATGTGCGTGGTTATGGTGGGTGTTTGTCGATCAAGGCCCAGATTATGTAGACGGGAAGGCATGACGTAGGAATTCCACACGCAAACCTGCGCGCGTTGCGACTGCGGGACCAAACGAGCGGTTCCTTCTTGGCATGAACTGGGCCCTACCTGCTGTGGCGCGTGCATTCTGAGAGCATTGAAATGGTCGCGTCTCCAAGCTGCAGTAGAGTCATACTGCGAATGCAACTGTGCATTGTCTAGCGGCCGTTGGTGTCGGCATACTAGAGCAGACCATTAGGGAATATACGAAAAGTACGGCCTCTTTCGTACCAGAAGAGAGATTAACTGTTCGGCTCTTAAGGATATGATTAAGAAGCTGCGAGCAGAGAGATGTCTATGCTTCGCGAGTCAAGATGACAGTCCCTGTTGAGCCTGCCCGACGCGTGTATACTGCAACAGAACGTGTATGCAATGTCCGCCCACTCATCTGACAGTACGTGGTAGCATCGACCTGTGTTCAATTGAGCCTGACAAATATGGCATGGAGAAAGCGTTGAGGGCTGCTGCTAGGTTTTGAGCCATCCGCTGGCGCTGCGCCTCAAAGGCTCAAACCCTGGAGGCCGCGAGGCGGACACGAACATCGAATGCGCCTGCCCCACAGCCAGGCTAGGTGCTACTCCAGCAAGCCTTCCAAGACGCTCGACCTTTGTTGCTGACCCGGTCCAATTCCGTGCCTCCTTTTCACGACTTTCCTTTGCAGCCTTGCCTTTTGCTCCTAAGACAGCATTGCTACCTAACTGTTGTTTCTTACCCCTCACCCACCCCACCACCAGCTGAACGCGCCTGATAGGCACCCCAAATCTCACCCTCAGCCTGAGACGACGCTCGCGGCAGTCGTATAACTGCTTACCAGCTCGCCCATCATGAGTTGTACTTCCCTCCCTGCGGTGCGCATTGCGATATCCAGGACTGACTGCTGGTCTAGTGACAAACATGCTCAACAAGCTGCACGGCCAGCCCGACAGCTATGATCGCAAGTCTGTATCCTGCTGCCCTGCGCCCCGACGTGTACTGAACATGCCATTCACAGATCACGATACCGCTTCGGAAAGACACTCGGCGCCGGAACCTACGGTATCGTCAGAGAAGCTGACTGCCCCGAGGGCAAGGTCGCTGTCAAGATCATCTTGAAGAAGAATGTGCGCGGCAACGAGCAGATGGTGTACGATGAGTTGGAGATGCTGCAGCGCATGAAGCACCCTCACATTGTCAAGTTCCACGATTGGTTCGAGTCAAGGGTACGCGCGATACGGGTCCCTTCTGTGGGACCGTGGAGCTGACAGCTGCCAGGACAAGTACTACATTGTAACCCAATTGGCGACGGGTGGAGAGCTCTTCGATCGCATTTGCGAGAAGGGCAAGTTCACAGAAAAGGACGCCGCTGAGACAATCCGACAAGTACTCGATGCAGTCAACTACCTCCACAAGAACAATGTCGTTCACAGAGGTATATTCTCCGCCTCGGATCGGATGCGACTACAGCAGCTAATTCCGAATAGATCTCAAGCCAGAGAACCTGTTGTACCTCACACGCGACGCGAACTCCTCCCTCGTACTTGCGGATTTCGGTATCGCCAAGATGCTCGACTCGAAGAGCGAAGTCCTGACCACCATGGCTGGCTCATTCGGATACGCTGCTCCTGAGGTCATGCTCAAGAAGGGTCACGGAAAGCCCGTTGACATGTGGTCCATGGGCGTCATCACATACACACTGCTGTGCGGATACTCGCCGTTCCGGTCAGAGAACCTTGCGGACCTGATTGAGGAATGCAAGAACGGTCGCGTCATCTTCCACGAGCGCTACTGGAAGGAAGTGAGCCCGGAGGCCAAGGAGTTCATCAAGAAGCTGCTAGAGCCCAACCCGGACAAGCGACCAACCAGTGAAGTACGATGAAGCAGTCAGGGTCTGTTGGAACGCACTAACAATACTAGGCTGCCCTCAAGCACGTTTGGCTCAGCGGAAGCACTGCTACCGACCACAACTTGGTGCCAGAGATCAAGGCGTACGCGGCAAAGGCCCGCCTCAAGCGCGGCATCGAGCTCGTCAAGCTTGCCAACCGCATCGAAGCGCTCAAGATGCAAGAAGACGAGGAAGAGGATGTACCAGGCGAGGCAGACGTGCCCGCCAACGCCCGCGAGGCTGCCGGCGAAGCCATTGCATCGCATTCCGAGGACAAGAGTCTGGCCACCAAGGAGAACGCAGACACAGGCAAGGGACCCGGACGCCTAAGCAGAATCGCAAAGGGAGCCATCTTCCGGGAAGTTGTGCTAGCCAAGGTGCGCGAGATGAAGGAAGCGGAGGCGCGAGCAGAGTTCGAGAAGAAGGCGTCGGAGCCGGTGCAGAAGTGAGAGAGAAGCTCTGGACGACTTTCCTTGTTTCTGGCGTAATCCTACAAACATGTTGAGTTTGCTGCAGTATTAGCGGAGGTCTCGTTTCCCAAGTATACCCCTGGAAGATAGCGACCAGGCCCCACTACCTAGAAACAGTTGATTGGCTGAATTTGATTGTTTGAAGCGTGATGCTGCAAGTTCCAGTGTTTACTACTTGCCGTGGCCATGGTGTGGTGGAGGACGCATCTGGTGATGCAAGCGGACCGTGCGCGGGTGCTTGGCAAAACTGGGAAGCCTAGATTGAACACTGCGGCGCGTCCACCGGGTTGACGACGGAACGCGCATTTCACTGCACCGCCGCCACGATCCCTATCCGCCCTGAGACGCTCGGCAAACCACTCAGTCCGACTACGCGATCACGAATCAACCGGAAATGGAGAGCGCGGCCAAGCGCAAAGCCGCGAGTGCTGCAGCGGGCGACCACGACGGGCGCCCTGCGAAGCGACAAAAAGGGACGGTACGTGCAGGCTGTGGTGGTGGGCGATGCATCGCCGGGCGTGTCCTGGAGATGGACGAGGCGTGATGGGCGCGTTGCGGGATGCTCCTTAGTCCAGCAGCGCGACACCTGGGGGGTTCGACGACCAGGCCATCACCCCGTCGGCCCCTCATCAATCCTCAACACCACACGCGCGCCGGCGATGCACTCAGCCATGGCGGGAATTGGATCAGACAACAATGAGAACATTGCTGACAGGAGACCGCTTCCGTGCAGGCCGAGACGCCCAATTCCAGGTCAGAGACGGTCGAGTCGACCACGACGGCAGGCTTGAAGTTCCTCGACAGCTTGAAGCAGGCCAAGGACAAGACGTACGTGACGCCCTCCTTACGCCTGTCGCACTG